AAAAATGCAAAAAAAGGTAAGACAGAAATCCACGAATTAAAAAGGCAAGACCTTGGATTTATACAAAAATAAAGCAAAAAAAGTAAAACAGAACCTCAAATTAATTAAGTTGAAACTAAAACTTTATAATATTAAGTTAAGAACTAAGTATGAACTTAGTCTTAAACTAATTGTCGCTTTTTACAAAATGCCCCGAAAAGACCTGGGGACTTGTCATTTCCAAAAACATAACCCCCAAATGGGACCAGGGGTAAAACCACCAAGAAAAAAAAAGAGTTAAACATCATAAACTTTCACTGTGGAGCGGAAGAAGAGTCTAAAGCAGCATCATCAGCAACAGAAGGCTCGATTTGATTTGAAGGAGCTGGGAGATCCACCGTAGCTATATTAGCTTCGATATTCTCAGGAGTATCAACCATGTGAGAAGGAAAATTGTTTCCTTTATCTTAGCCAATTCAGCATTCAAGTTAAAATCCTCTTGGCTAACCTCCACAAGGGTATCATGGCGTGTGTTTAAAATAGCCCAACTCACTTCAATAGCAGTTTTGTCCTCAAGAGCCTCGTAATCTTTTTACCATTGGTCAATCTCATTCTTGAGCTCTTCCTTCTCAACCAAAGCAGCATCATAAGAAGACCGCAAAGGTGCAAGTGAACTTTCCAAAAGTCTGACTTTATCAGAGGACACTCGAAGGTCTTCTTGGGTCTGGGTAAGTGTCTGAACAAGTTCACCTGCATAAACTTCTTTTTTGTTCAGCAAGGCCTTCAAACCTCTAATCTCTTCACTGGCTTTGGAGAGTTGCTCGAAAAATGATGCCTCAAGGAGACTTTTGTCTTTGTCAAGCTGATTGGAAGAAGCTCTTTCAACTGCTAACTCTGAAATCAAGACCTTCAACTGTTGCTCTAAGGTACACTTGCTCTCTTCTAACACTTCCATCTCCAGTTGAAGACTTTCATACTGTTCTTTCCAATTGTCTGCTTCAACTTGATAGTCATGCATTAATTGCTCCGTATGAGGAACCCTCTTCATCATCTCTGTACCAATGAGGTTGATCTAAAAAATAAGAAAGGGGCAAGAACCTTAGTGAAAGAAGAATTAAATAAAGCGTAAAAAAGGCAGCAAATACCTTCAGTGATGATTGCACTATATCATTCATCCAAGTCAAAGAACTATGACTTTCTAGCTTGGACCTTTCTACTGGGCCAATCAAGGGTTTTAACCATACGTCAGCCCGACCTGATTTTTTCAAAAGATTACCATCGGCAGGGACCTCAATGGTAATCTGCTTCATCCCTCCACTTCCACTTGAAGAACTAACCTCAGTACGAGGGATGGTGATAGTGGGGACTAAAGAAGAAGTCATAACAGCTTGGGGCGGAGCAGAAATAGTAGCAGTAACAGCTGGCAAAGAACACACCACAGGGACAGACATGGTAAAAGAGGCAAGAGGCACTTCATCAGAAACCAAACCCAAATTCTCACTATCAAACCCACGAGAAAAAAGCTGTTCATCGGAGTCACGAGCTGCCGCAGGAGTATCATCATCAGAACACACCAATATAGCACTAACAGGCTTGGCCACGAGAATAGAACGGGGAGGATTCGCTTCATCGTCTGACAAGACGCGTCTTCTGGCCCGTGGCCTTTTAACCAAGGAACTTCCGTCATGTTCCTCTTCCTCTTCAGAATCTTGAGTCGTATCAGCTTTCCTTTTCGATGAAGAACTCAAGATTATCTCTTGAGCTCTTTCCAAAGAAACTTTGGAAGTCGTGATTGCATCAGCACTTACCCCACGTATGGGGAACCCTGATAAAAAGAAGGGTCATAAAAATTCTAAAGGAAAGATGAACAAAAATATAAAAAGAAAGCGAGTAAAGTATTTACCATGAGTTTTGACCTTCCAACCAAATCTGTGTGAAAGGATTTTCCAAGATCTGCCTTCCATAGACACAACAGTCAATAACTTTTCTACCCAGCCACGAAAATTGGGAATCTCGTCAACAGTTCCCATGGTTGCTGAAAAGGAGAAAGATTAAACAGCAGCGGGAAAAATAAATCCCTTTAGAAGGGAAAAAGGAAGAAAGTTGCGAGATTAAAACTCACGTGCAAAGTTTCACTTTTCGGGGAATGGTACATTTTCTTCACCTACTAAACCCACAGTAAGAGCAGCAACAAATCTGGCATACCAGCCACGATCTTTATCATCTTCAGGGCTAACTAGTATTCTCTTACTCCTCGCCACTAAAGTAAAGATCCCATCGCAGAAAAGTTTAGGGGAGTAGAGGTGGATCAGATGAAAGAAAGTGAAAGGCAAGTTAGCCAACCTTGCTAAGTGCCTTAGACAAGCAACAACCCTCCACACAATGGGGCCAATTTGTCCCAGTCAGACGTTGAAAAAACGGCAGAACTTAATAATAACAGGATCAATGGGGGGTTTGAAATTCAGTGTAAAGGGATATGTATACACAAAAGAAAATCTGGTCATGTAAGATGTAATTCTTTGGTTGCATTGGGAATTATAATAGGGAAGTCATGGATCCAATGGCAATCCATACAGATAACAAAAATTAAACTTTCAGTAATCTAAGAAGGATAAACGTCAGCACGATCCTAAGAAGACATAGAAGAAACTTTATTCCTAATTGACTCTCTATCAGAGTAAAAGGATAGTTCAGAAGGGATAATTTCATCAACTAAAGGTTCACGAACTGGTTCACTAGAATCTTTATTTCTAGAAGAAGATCTATGTGAAAGAGAACCCCTAGTTCTGGAAGGAAGGGTGGAACTCGATGGAGGTAAAGAGACACCTCGTGTAGATGAAGGCCCTAAACTACGCAACCTTCCCCCTCTTCTGCTTCTAACAGGAGCAAGGGAAAGTTCATCAACAATGGGGACTCTTCGAGGATTAGGGTTTGAAGAAGACATGGCTGTACGAGGAAGAAAACAAGAATGAATATTCTAAGGTAGGTAACTTTTTATGAGAAAGACAAAAACGAAAGTTATATTTATACTCAGAAGCAACCGTCAAGGAAAAGGTGTAATGATGGAAACGCCATGATGGAAACTGTCACTTCGTAATTGATGAAGCCGCAATAAAGCCCTAAAAGGCGCTGAAGAATTGCAGATCCAATTATAAGATGCCACGTGTCACGAGCATTAAATGGAAGTGACATATGAAACGTCAGTTATGGAAAAAGTATAATGGCGGCAAAAATTACCGCTTTAATGAAGATCCATTTTCCAAATATTCTATTGTTGAATAAATGGCAAGTGGGGGGACTATCTGCATTGGGAAAATTCAAGTTAGTATATTAAATTTATTATGTGGTGGTATGTCATGACACGTGGATCAGTTAAAGAATGACAGCTGGCATAGAATAGTTAAAGAGGCACGAACTTTAACAGGCACGAGCAGAGGTCCAAGGAAAACAGAAGGGATAGGTGCTCGAACCTTTTGATAATTCGGAAAAGCGTCGGAGGAATGAACCTTGATAGCAAAAAAGGATAGATGCGTATTATTGGTAGTTAATGAGCATTAACTACGGGAAACATTGTAGAATCTGTACTGAACATTTACGATTGCCAATTATAACGTTGCATTAAATGTCATTAATTGCCCATAATAACTCCATTATGGAAGGAAAGAAACGTATTACTTAGAAATAACTGTAAAAGGAGAGGAATAAACATTTGTAAAAACAGAAAACACTATTGGAATACACTGAATTACTTTGCTTTCTATCTTATTATTCATATCAATTATTTTTATTTGATTATCAGTAACCCGAGTTCTTCTGGTAGCAAGCTTTGACCGAAATTCTTATTTTTTGGTTAAACAAAAAACTCATTTACACCTGGTATTTACATTAATCCAATAAATACATAACACATATTTTCACAATTATTATTATCACTAAATCATAGTTAATTCATACTTATTTTCACCTTAATTTATATCTTATTATAGTTGATTAGCATAATTTGGTGTAAACACCCGATGCAGGTAAATTTTACCGTTCCCTTTGACCACTTCAATCAACTTACTTGGATATCTCTAACTAGATACTAGATATAGATTTGGTGTTGACAAGTTCATCCTAAGAGTCCCCGACCGTCCCTAGTTTCTGTTTCTTACGTAGGGGAATGGGCTTGAAGTCTAAGTTCTTTTATTCTTGACATTTATTGATCAAGAAAGACACGCAGCATCCATTCGTCAAGCCTGAATTTTTTGACTTGTTGAGTAGCTTATAGCAGAAATGGGGAGGAGGGGAACCGTTATATTTTCATCTAACTAGTTTGAGATTGAGGCATAGTTATTGTATAAGCGTCAATAAGGTATCGAGAGAGTTATCACAGTCAGGTGTAAATTGATTACCCCTATTTGTAAACTACCCCAAATTTGGGCCAATAATTCGCTATATGCAACCGTTTAATGTCGGAGCAAGTTAACAAATGAATTTGGCGAGAAATTAGAAAATAGTCAGATTTACAAGTGGTGATTCAAAAATAGTCACAGTTTCAAAAGTAATCGATATTTAGCTACTTTTCATGTAAAGAAAAATCCGAACGAAAACACTATTCAAAATCCGGAAAATACTCCAGCATAATATAGTGGAGTTCCGGCATAAGTATACTGGATCCAGCATAATATACTGGACTTCCAGTATAATATACCGGTCCAACATAATATGCTGGAAATTCATACACAGGTGCTCCGATCTCCAGTATATTATGCTGGAACTTTCCGCATGTTGGAGTTCCAGCATAATATGCTGGAAGTTCATACACATGTGCACCGATCTCCAGTATATTATGCTGGAACTTTTCGTGTTGCAGCAAAATAATGGCTATTTTTCATGGACTTAGCAAACGCTGACTATTTTTCAATGACAAAAGTGACTAGGCCATGCTATTTTTACGTGAATCAGTAACATGAACTCTCATAACAAAATTACCATGCTTTACAACCAAATTGGTAAATCCTGGCTTAAAAGAATAAAGATTGAATCCAAAGTCTTGAATGCCTACGATATCTTAGATGGTTTATTAGAAACAAAGAAAGAAATTGAGATGCCATTTTACAATGATTTCGATATCAATATGATATTAATCATAACTTTACACATGAAGAAAACCTACTCTATAAAAAGTTATAAGCCAAAACACAACAAGGCAGTATCTAGCCAGAAATTTCTTTCCGATAATAAAACATACTCCACTTCTATATAAGAAATTTAATTAGTCTCCTCTCGTTTAGCATAATCGTCGCAATTTTTTTGGACTTGAATATTGATACAAACTTCTCCTTACCAAGAAAGAGATGTCTAATTGTAAAATTTGTAAGTGTTGGCTTGTACTATGATGGATCTCAAACCACCAATTGGTGCTAAAACCATCAATAGAACTCCAAATATTATGCAAATCTGTCATAAAAAGAACATAGTATTTGTCATTTTCAAGTGTATAAAAGGCAAAATCACAAAACTGAAAATACAACGGCAGATTTAAGTAGCCCCATACCCAATTAGCAATCCAAGAGAGACTCCATCTCCTTGGCTTGTAGATTGCAAGCCACATGATGCAAGGCAGCTGAAGAAACAAAAACCAAAGTTTCCCAATAAGACATCTGAAATCTACACTATAAAGACGACGATAACAACAACAACAACCCAGTATAATCCTACTAGTGGGATCTGGGGAGGCTAGAGTATACGCAGACCTTACCCCTACCTTCAAGAAGGCAGAGAGGTTATTATTTTCGGTAGAGCCTCGGCTCGGAAAAGATAAAATAATGACAACAACAAGCATATCAATCGAAAAACCGGAGCAAAAAACACAAACTAACAGTAGATACGATAATCAGAAAGCCAAAACGAAAGCAACAACAAGTACTAACAGAAGTCAAGGGATACGACAATACACAGACATGACAACGCTCGACTATCTATCCTAACCCTTTACCTTTATTCTCAACACTACAAAGAGATTGGAAAAAATCTTTTGTAAATCACTTACAAAATAAGTTGTTGGAGCAAAAGCAAATCCTCCAAAGAATCCAAGAAGTCCCCCAAAGAAAGGGAAGGTGATTCCAACAAACATTGTGAAAGCTGCAATAAGTCCAAAGGCATTAATATAAGGTTTCAAAATTCTAAGTACTTCAAATTTTTATAGTAAATGAAGGCAAGTAACATACCAACATAAATATTTCTGGTAACAAATCGCAGATACCAAGTAGGCCTGAACCTAAGTTTCTTAACAAGCACAGTCTCGAGCATGTCAAACACTGGCATTGCGTAAATCTACAACATCATAACATAAACAACATTTCATTAGGTAAACGGTACGCGCTAAATAAACATAACTGAAACTTTCCTATTTAGATCAGAACATCGATCATACCTGATAGCTCCCAATAACGTGGACGACGACAAACATGTTAGCCATGACAATGAGCCAAGTAGGTTTCTCCAAAGACACGAGAATGTTGTCTGATACTGAATTCCCAAACATCCAATAACCAATAAAAGCAACAGGGAAGTAACAGAGAGCCACAACTATGTATGCAACAACAACTCCTCTCCACATAGGTATTTTCGAAGGTTTCTCAGGTGTTGAAGGGATCGTAGCTTGAATCTCCAAAACCACGTTATGACCTGCATATGCAAAAGCCACTTCTCCCAATCCACTCAGGAAGTTGAAAACAGTTCCTGACGTGCTGTGAGCCTTGTACCCGTAATCTACATCCGGTTGTACACCCTTCTTTACTGATGCCCCCCAAGCAATTGTAGAATAACTTCATTGTCCGACATAACAAAAAACACGTTAGAAACAGTATCAACATTTAAAGAAGTGAACAAATAAGAAAATTTCTAAATTATTATAGTAGCTTTTATGAAGGGACTTTTGCCTATTGGTTTAGTCGAATCTTATCTTAGAGAAGGTTAGGGTTCACTGTTTACTCTTTCTAGCTGGTATACGTAGAATTACACTTTGTATACACATATTATACATGATTGAGGGGGGAAAGGAAACAATAAGCTAAAGATAGATATATATACCTTAGGGACATTACTGCGGCAGCCAAAGAGACACCAGATATGGAATTGAAATTGGGAAGATGGGAAAGCACAAAATGGACAGAGGCAAAGATCATGATGAAGTAGGAAAGTTTAATATCTTTGGCGCAATGGATACTGTCTTCGTTTTTTTTGCAAACCAATTCGTGGACTTTCATTAGTGATCTTCCTCCTGTCACCATATAAACAATGTCAACACCTACTTCGACGATTAATTGTTGTGGCACAACAATCCATAGGCCAAGTTTTTCTCCAAAAGCATGTTGTCCCAATTCATGATATCTATCGAAACGTTTCCCTGGAACCATTTCGTGCATTTCAACCATTTGCCATAGTGTGTATAAAGTTATAATCCAAGATACTACCATCACCGTTACACCAGGTCCCCTGAAATTACAGTACTGTCAGCGTGTATAACTTAAATACATTGCTGATATCGTCCAGCAATAGTGTCTTGATAATATTTAAATGTTAAAAAGGATAAAAAGAGAGAATTGTACCATCCAAGCTCTGACATGGCATAAGGAAGACTGAGAACACCAGCACCAACCATAGCAGTAACATTGTGAAATGCAGAATACCACCATTTTGCATTCCTAGAAGAAGTAATAGGGAGCCACGCATCGATTGCCTTCTCTTCTGCAGTTCTTGTATCAACCTGTGTCATTTGATTATATGGTCAGACCTCTCTCTATAACATCATTTCTATATAATATAATCATTCACTATAAAACCCAAGTTTTCTCGGAATCAATTTTTATGTTATGTTATAATATATAATCTCTATAACAACACTTCACTATAGCAGCCAACAAATATGGAACAAATGAGGCTGTTATAGAGAGGCTTGACTGTAGTTCCAATTCTAAGTTGAATTTTACAAAGATATATATGAACATAAAGCTGAAGACGATAAACACAGTACAGTAGGAGACCAAAAAATATATAAAAATATGGCAAGTAATTTACTATAATCGGTTAAATTATACTATTGCCAATTAAATTTTTTTACCGTGCCAGTACATATAATTTAAGTCCGAAAAAAAAACTGCTTTAAACATTAAAATGTAATGAGAAAGAAACTTCCCAAGACTTGATAGGTATGTAGTCTACAGAGCCACTCAAAGGATATTTTCGTGATATTCAAACCTAAGTAACAAATTAACTTTGTTTCAGTTTTTCATAACCATTTAATTAAAAATAATTAAAAAATTTCTTCTGATTGTTGCAAATGGATTCAGATGCAAAGTAACGTGAAATTTGGCTTAAAATACTGGAAAAAGACAAAAGGATTTTAAATCCATAATCCATGTGACCCACTAGTAATAAACTAGTAGTTCTTCTTATTAGCAGTTTGTATAGTATGGAAAGTCAACTGAAAAGTTGAAATGATTTGCTCATGGCACGTCTCTATACCAATTTGCCGTGTATTTAACGTCGTTAATTATTCATTAAATTTTTTTGAAGTACCCTACTCTTCTAACGTGATGTACACACATGCAACGTCAACCATTCAACACATAGCTTACACTTAATTTAAAAGATCGAAATTGAACCACTATATTTTTAAATATGGATATTATCACTTTTAGCTCGTGCCAGAAATTATTTACATTTGGTAACCAAAAACGTGTATAAAATTTGTATAATTTTATATATGACATACAAAAAGTTTATATATACCAAAAATATATATTTTTTCGGCTATTATTTTGAGACCGGAGTCATTTTCCTTTTAAAATATAGAAATAATATAAGTTTGACTGGTTCAAGATTGATTCTAGACCACAAAACAAACAAGAAAAAAGTAGGAAAGTTCACATTTTTCTCATTAACCAATGCTTCTTTGTTTCGTAACCCGAACAGAGGAAAAGTTGGAAACAATAAATGAACACCGAAATGAGAGACAGTTTTACTTCAAGATCTAAAACTCAACCAAGTTTTTCAAATATTTAGCAAATCTCAAACAATTTTTATGAAAATTCTTTATATCCACATAATATAAAGTTTAAATTATATACAATCCAAGTATAAAAGATTTTTACACTATCAAATAACTAAATGATAACTACCGGCCCATTTGTTCACTTAAAAAAAAATTGAATTATTTTTCAAAAATGTGTTTCTCTATGAAATTTTGCAAGTTTGTAAAAAATAGATTCAAAAATGAGTTTTTCAAAAACCAAAAAGTGATTTTGACCACTTTTTCAAAATTTTCAAACTTCTTTTTTTCCCCACTCACAAAAACTGCAATATTTTTTCAAGTGAAATGCATGTCCAAACATAATTTCAAATTACAAATACTATTTTTCAACTTAACTCCAAAAACTACATATTTTTTCAAAAGTTACAATTTGTATGTCAAAACACCTACTACATGTAACTCATGTCAAAAATGCAGGAACAATAACTAAAAATAAGGAAAGCTAAAATGTTAAAATATATACTTGATATAGTAAACATTCTTTATATACACAGAGAAAAGAGAGAGACTTACCTTGTCATTGTTGTAGTTGGGATCCGATGGAGCTTGAGTTCCCATGGCTACAGGTTATGGACTTGTGCTTGTAGAAATTAAACTACCCAACAATTTAAAAAGGGAAGAAAACTGAAGAGATGAAGGGTATAGAAAACTTAGGAGAGTAAAATGAATATGGAAAATATCGAAGCTGTCTGTCTTATATAAACAAAACTACATATACTCTTAGCTGTAAAAATTATTTAGAATTCTCAGTCGTTAGCTGGTTTCGTAGTATTTTTAAAATGGAAAAAAAAAAACCCAGATAGGACCTACTATATATAAATTAACAAGTAGAGATTGAAGGTGACGTTTTTGTTTGACTTTGAATTTTAGAAAATAATACTAGTAGTCGTTAACGAAGGCGATGAATTTGATACTACTATATACTACAAGTTGCCATCAGTCTCTTTGTTATTTGCTTATACTCATACTAGTAATTATTTTGACTTAAGAGTTATTTTCTGATTAGCTGTATAAGTCTCCTAGGAAAATTCCACGAACTTTGCATTACTCATTTTATTCTCCGGCCTGCAATTGTTTGTTACAAGTTGTATCTTATAATGTTTTTATGTTACAGAAAATATATGCATAGTAACTGAATTAATTATTGCCTTTAAAATATACAAGTGATTCCGTGATAATGAAGGAGAAATTCCTGCGTTCATACTCAATTTAATAAATAACTGAGATATAACACATCAAGCCTCAAAAATTCAGTTTTGATATTTTTAAAGTCCAATTAACATTTAAAATAGATCAAAAGGCAAAGAAAATAGAAGATATGTTAAGATTGTCTAAAATTCATAAAACACGCGTACAAAAGTTGTTTGAGCTATTTAAGCGCCAATTTCATAAGTATAAAACATAGGGATATTATAACTTTTAATCCGTACCATAAACTATTTATATTTGGTAGCAGAAAAAGTTTAAAATTTATATAATTTTTTTATATAACATACATAATATATATATATATATATATATATATATATATATATATATACACACACACACACACACACACACACACACATACATTTACATACAAAAAGTATATAAATTTTATACATTTTCCCGCTATTATTTTTACAATGGCTATACAATGTCATTTTTCGAACAACATATTATATATTTATAATCAAATAATTAAAAGAAAATTGTTTCAAAGGTGTGCAGAGCATATTATCAAAGACGTAAAGGGCACATACAAGAAGCCTCCTTTGTTTCAATATTTTTTGGCTTTTATAGTGAATGACTGTTAATATGTTATACACCTATAACAACATTTGATGTTTAAATATTTTTTGGCTATTATAGATAAAAATTATCCAAAAATCAATTATTTTTACTTTTTAAATGTTACATAAGATATGAAAATTCTTCATATTTAAAATCTCAAAAGATATGCATATTCACTAGTTAAATATTAAAAAAAGCTAATACATTTTTAATAGATTCATAACTAAACTTATAAAGATTTAAACTCTAAAGCAAACATTTTAAAGCTACCTAGAAAGATAAAGTCTTTCAAGATTGATGGAATAACTTTCTAATTGTAGCTACTTCGTAGATTTCATTCTCTTACTAGTGATATAACGCTTGAATTAGCGGACATTTGTGTCTAAATTTTCAGCAAAAAAGTATCCAATAATTTTTTTGGAAATAATGTAAGAGCTTATTAGATAAATTTTCTATCTAAAATCCTACATCTTCAAATCCTACATCTTAATCCTACATCTTCAAATCCTACATCTTATGCAAGATAGAAACTTTATTTAGTGGAAAAGATTGCGTCCATATTTTTAGAATTATTATTACTCCCTTCGGTCCATTTTAATTGATTTCGCTATTTTCCCACATATTAAGGAATCCACCCTTTTGCATTAATTAACAATGAAATTTACCATATTAACCTTAATTTATTTGTTGGAAATATAACAAATATACTGCTAGGCTATTTAGTCCCAGGGCAACTTTGGAAAAAAAAAAGTTAAGTCATTCTTGATATCCAAAAAAAACCAAATATTGTGGACCACAAGAAATTAAAAGGACCAAGAAATCAATTAAAGTTGACCGGAGGGAGTAGTAATCTTAAATTCTATATGGCTGCTATTGAGGTAATTTTACAAAGAATGTTATGCTATAAATATAGTAGTAGTAGTTGTTGTTATAGGTAAAAAGTTGTTATGGAGAGGTATAACTTAAATATCAGTTCTAAAGAAAACTTGATTTTTATAGTAAATGTTGCGGCCAAACGCACACGCAAGTATACGCGGTCGTCAAGTAATAAAGTGACTAAAAGTCGGATATCGATCCCACGAGGACTTGTGATTAACTATTAATTAAATTAGACCATCCTAATTATCTATACAAGAATTAAACCTAGAAGTATTTGATTCTAAACTAATTAAAATAAAAAAATATAAATAATGAACTTTTAACAGAGAGAAACAGCAGATTTTTATGATATCAATGTAATGAAAACGATCTAGGGTTATGGGCTATCTAACATTCCTATTCTATTCTTCAATTGAATTGACTAACCAATTTATCTAGTTTATTGGTTGACAGGGTTAATATTGCTCATAAGAATCTGTCGAGTTCTTACTCGCCTATTCAAGATATCCTAACGCCTATATGTCTATGGAATTAGAATCAACAAGAACGCATTTATAATTCCTGTAAATCAACCAAGCAAGGCAATTAGGTATATGTCTATCCTAACCGCGTATCCGTTCCCCGATGCCCAGGTTCAAGAACTTGCTCTATTCAATCCTATATGCAATCTAGAATTCCCACTTTCGAGTTCAACTCTAGATTCGTAGATAGTATTCAATTGGTGATCAAGCAATCAAATAATTAAGTGCAAGATTGAACAAATAAACCAATACGATAAATCAAGAAATCAAAATCAATATCCGAATAACAATAGTCATGAAAGAACCAAAACCCTAGAACGTGAAGTTTAGCTCCACATAGGCATGGTAGCAATACAACAAATCATACAAAGAAACATAAAAAGACTAAGTTGGTGGAAGAAAAGATGAAACCCGGCCTCCACGGCGGCTCTGTGCTCTTCCTTGGTCAAAAATTGCTCTAAAAAACGTTCTCTCATGTATATATACCAAGTAGGGTTGGGCCTAAAAAATTATACCTTCTCCAATGTGAAAAAGGACACTTTTCCCGGGTCAGACGCGCGACTTCGCGCGGTCTTCGCGCACCTTTCTGCCTCAATCTTTTTAGCGCGCGAACTATGCGCGACTTCGCGCGTCCTTCGCGCGTCTGCTCGTTTTTCATCCTGTTCCGTTCTGAATTTGGAAAAACGTAAAACATGAAAGTTGTAGCTCTTTGAGTAAAGTTATGTGTATTTTACTAGACAGTGCGCAATCTGCCTACTGGAGTCTTCGTTTGCTCTAACCATCATCCGTTGACCCCCAAACGCGATCCCGGCTTAATTCTTTGAACTTTTACTCAGACTTCAAAGCTCCAAATCACTTAAATTCATTCCATAACATGTACATAGCTCGGAATCACACCTACAAGGCATAAAACACACAATTAGTGCAAAACACTAGCGATTAAAGCGCAAACTCAACTAAAGTGCAGTAAATTAGAGTGTAATAATCGATTAAAATACGTAATTATAGCCCATCATCAGTAAATAACTATTATATAGAGATGCTGTTATAGAAATAAATAATCTAGGACATAAAACGCCATGAGTAAACTTGTCACCTATCGAACCGCATTAACTCCTTTGGATCCTTTTACATTTTTCCTCCGATCACATTCTGAAAATGTATTGAAGTATTTTTTTTCTCTACAAAATCTTCGTCGTATATATTTGTAGTACCTCCCCTTTTAATTTCAATCTTTTACAGCAGTGAAGACTTTATTAGAAAATGAAAACTGGAATGTTTTCCAATTAATGCAGTAATTGTTAGTCACTGAGGCAGACTCGTGACCCTTATCTATTCGTCCTCTCATTAATAGTTATTCAAATGAGGAAGATGTCGAAGCTTGAGACTGAAATTGCAGTGCGACTTAATATAGTATGTGATTGTACACCCCCAATTCAAAATCTGGGTTTCCTTGTATTTTCTCGCTTAGTCAACCTTAGTTGATAATATCTTATCTACGTAAGTTTCTTCGTAGTTGCCTCTTAAATGTTAATTTTCAATTTTTTTCTATTTCCTTAACAGTTATTGTGTTAATTTACTCCAGTTAATTCGATAAGGACAAAATAGAGTTGTAGTGGAATGATAAACTATAAGAAAATCATAAATTTATGACTAAATAATTGTGACGAATTTGCGACAATTTTAACTTAGTTGACAAAATTCATCAATTTGAGACGGATTTGTGACGATTTTATTATTACGTCACAATTTTTCTGGCACTCGAATTTGTGGAGAAATTGTGACGAATTTTCTGTCACAATTACTATTATTATCGTTGTATTGGTCAAAATCTAATCGCTGCAGTCGGCCTGACCAAGATCCCGACCAAGCAACGAGATAGTGAAGGACGAGGAGCCTTTCCATGGAAAAGAAAAAACAGTGATCTTCATCGATTAATGAATGAAAAAATGTAAAATATCAATGAGATTGATCTATTCTTATTTCATTTTATGCATTATTCTCCGATTCGTTTATAGATCTGGAGGTTATTAGCCTTGATTAAGATTTACCTCTTCATTTTCTTTGATTGATTTGTTCAAAAAGGTTTCAATATCTTTTGAATCAAACAATTTGGCGCCGTCTGTGGGGATTTCTTAGTGAAAACCTCCTAGTCTCCTCCAGATAGAAAACTAGAAAAACGATCACCCACCGAGAGGAACGGTAAGTGAATCTCACACGCCAGCCTAGATCATGATGCTATATACAAGCAAAAGTTACAACCAACATCATCCCCCGCATGCCGGGCAGCAGATGGACCAGTCAAAACAAGCCTGGCCCGCAGTGAACCAAGGCACAAAAAGGAAGGGAAGCAGGACCGAATACGGTTACCAAGCTCAGAAAACACCATCATCGTCAAACATCGGAACGCCAAGCAGAGCAAGTAGCCGCTGATCCACCTTCGTTCACCAATTCATCAGATCGGGATAAGGAGGATATCATCCTAACCCACCTTCTGTTGATTGCCTAAACAAGAACGTAAGCGCAGCACGGGCGAGCAAGCAAAGAAACATCCCAACTGAAGAATAGGAAATTATTACGGAACCACTGAAATATCGTCCACCAGACAAACCCGACGCCTCGGAAGCAATACCCTTCGAACAATACCTCATCTCCCTCACTCAAAAGGTGTCCCAAGAAAACCTCCCTGGGGACTTAAACATCAGGCCGACAAGGAGGAACCCCCCNGGAGGACCCCCCCCCCCCCCCCCCGAGGTCAAAGCGTAATTCATCGTCCCACCCGCCAATTCGACACCTCAAAATCGGAGAACGAAAAGGTTAGACGGGAAAACTCCAATGTGTATGAAACGAGTGCGAGCTAAGCAGCAGCATTTCCTGTTCTCCGATATTACGCTCCCCGACGCACGCAAAATTAAACTGACAGGGACTCGTCTTCGAAGTCCCTGCGGGCGGAGTGATTCGCCAATCCAGACGATGCCCCGAAATGACTAATAACGAGGCCGAGTATGAAGCTGTGATTGCAGGATTGAAATTAGCCCTAAAATATGGCGCTCGACGACTCATCTTACATTGCGACTCCCAACTCGTGATGAATCAAGTCACTGGGACTTTCCAAATCAAAAAACCGAGACTACAAAAGTACCAATCAGAAATCCGCAAACTACTACCGGAATTCGATGAATGCCGCCTCGACCAGATACCCAGGGCGCAGCCGAAGCAGACGGCCTCGCCAAATTAGCGGCAGCCACCAGAAATATCAACAAAGAAAACGTGGTCACCCTCCTCCATTCCTCAATTGACCAGGTCGAGGTACATTCTATATATCTGAGTTGGGAATGGCGCAATCGTATCGTGACTTATTTGCAGGAGGGAACGCTCCCGCAAGATAAGAAAGAAGCCAAAAAGCTCCGAATACAGGCGGCCAGGTACAGCCTCGTGAATCACGACCTTTACAAAAGGACGTTCGGTGGCCCCCTGGCCAAATGCCTCCGACCAAACCAAAACGCGGCGGGTATTAGAAGAAGTACACGAGGGGCACTATGGTGCTCATACAGGAAACCGTGCCCTCGTCGGATGCCTCATACGTGCGGGATACTACTGACCCACCATGAAAAAAGAAGCCGCAGACTACGTCAGAAAATGTGAACAATGTCAAAAATACGCCTATATGATACACCAAGCAAGAAAACTGCTGCACTCCGTCACTTCGCCATGGCCGTTCATAAAGTGGGGGATGGATATTGTCGGACCCCTTCCAGCAGGGTGAGGTAAGGTACGCTTCCTTTTGGTTTTAACTGACTATTTTTCTAAATGGGTGGAAGCAGGTGCATACACTCAAATGCATGAACAAGAAGTTATCGCGTTCATATGGAAAAAAATAATATGCTGCTTTGGCATTCCCAAAGAAATCAGCTGCGACAACGGCCCTCAGTTCGTCGAAAAGAAAACAACCGAGTTTTTTGGAAAATGTTGCCCATCTCAAATACTTCCACTTCTGAAAAGAGGCGCCTCCTAAGTCGTACTCTTTCTCCCTCACCCGGGTTTTGTCCCTATCAGGTTTTCTCGGTGAGATTTTTGATGAGGTGACAAGGGAGACGTCTCAAAGTCCGAAGTGTTGTTCATCGCCCCGCCCATCGACACGGTCTCCGGGCCGAGTAATGAAGGGACTGGGTATAGATAGCCAAATATTCATTGTATATACAAAGTCAACGCATGTTTCCTACTAGAATATAATCAAAATCTCCAATGTATGAACGAAACTAGCATCCACGATACTCCAACAAATCTCCAATGTATGAATGAAACTAGCATCCACGATACTCCAACAAATCTCCAATGTATGAATGAAACTAGCATCCACGATACTCTAACAAATCTCCAATGTATGAATGAAACTAGCATCCACGATACTCCAACAAACAGAATAGAGCGCCATAATTACGACGGGATACTGCTTCGGCGCCAGCTCGAAAGTAACGTCCCAATGGCCAGGGCCTCCACCAAAAATACGAGTTCGACTTCGATCGAATGACAACGGGTTAATATTTCGACGAAAGATCGAAATAAAACCCTTTAAAGCCAAGGGCCTCCGCCAAAAAGAAGAGTTCGACTTCACTCAAACTACGACGGGATACTGCTTCGACGCCAGCTCGAAAGTAACGTCCCAATGGCTAAGGAAACCCATATAGATACGAGTTCGACTTCGATCGAACAACGACGGGTTAATATTTCGAAGAAAGATCGAAATAACACCCTTAAGGCCAAGGGCCTCTGCCAAAAAGACGAGTTCGACTTCGATCGAACAACAACGGGTTAATATTTCGACGAAAGATCGAAATAACACCCTTAAGGCCAATGGCCTCCGCCAAAAAGACGAGTTCGACTTTGATCGAACAACGATGAGTTAATATTTCGACGAAAGATCGAAATAACACCCTTATGGCCAAGGGCCTCCGTCAAAAAGACGAATTCGACCTCGATCGAACAACGACGGGTTAATGTTTCGACGAAAGATCGAAATAACACCCTTTAAGGCCAAGGGCCTCCGCCAAAAAGAAGAGTTCGACCTCGATCGAACAACGACGAGTTAATGTTTCAGCGAAGGATCGAAATAACACCCTCAAGGCCAAGGGTCACCACCAAAAAGAAGAGTTCGACCTCGATTGAACGACGACAGACCAACATTTCGACAAGAATTCAAAATAATGCCCCTAAGACTGAAAGCCATCGCCGAAGATAACTGGGACTCGCGACGGGATGATACCATGATACAAACTCGAAATAAAATCCCTACGGCGAAGCGGCCGCTATTAGAAAGAGAATCTGATACCGTTCGGACGTTGATAGATTAGCACCTCGGTACGAGGTGAAAAGCACCGCCCCGTCAGCTAAAGCAGTCATCAAGTCTCCACTCAAACCAAGCGACCTTGAAGTTTCCTAAAAAGCGGGAGGTCAGCATGTAGAAATCTACTTTGCATCAACATTATGAAGAGCAAAACAGGAAAAGGAGTACAGAAGGCGTATAACATTGAAAATCCTCTTCATACAAAGCCACCGCGCAAACGACCGCAAATTACCTACAACTAAAATCAACGGAGTCCGAGAAAAGAACAACAAACAACAATAAAAAAAGAAAAAATAGAAACAAAGATAGCAATTCGTTCACTCGGCACCATCCCCAGGAGATCCTCCCTCATCACCCACACCCTCATCAGCTTCCGGCATTGCAGAATCATACCCACAGTTTACACGAGCCTCTCGTGCCTTCGCCCGTGCTCCTTCATACACGACCTCAGTAACTTTGCCCGCCTCCTACAAACTCTTGTAGATATCCCGCTGGGCTTCAGCATGAACCCAAAGCTCGTGCAAATGACGAGAAGCAGCGGCGGAGGAAGATTCCAATAGTTGCTCCTTTTCGGCCTCAAGAGCAGCGACCCGGTCTGCTAGGGTCGATGCATCTCGGTCGATCTCGCCAATGCGCTCCTCAAGCCTCGCTTCCCTTAACGTGGCCGTTGCCCTCTCCGATTCCTGCTCGGATTGGAGGACACGGATGGTGTTCTCTAAAGCTGCAGCCCTCGCCAAAGCCGATGACCAAGCACTCTCGATATTTTCCAAACAGGCAACTTTTCTCTCCAACTCGGTCAACTTTCCCATCCACTCCGCGCTCATCGCCTCGACCCTGATAAGGTTCTGATCCATCTCCGATTGCATAGACCTCAACTTCTCCTAAAGATGTTCGCACTTTGCAGCAACCCCTTTACCCAGCTCAAGCTCTTCATCCGTGGCACGAAGTTGCTCCTCGAGTACACTACTCCTGCGGATAGCCTCCATCAGTTGCTGGTCCCTCTTCTCCAACTCCTCGCCGAGGGATCGAGCATCAGGGTTCGCCCTCAGCCGCTCGTGCATCTCGGGCCATTTATCGCGATAGCGCCGATATTTCCCCAGCATCATCAGGAAAATCTTGGCCCAAGTATCAGCTCTGCGAGCACTCTCAATCTCCACCATGTACGTCTGGAAAATGAAAAAACAGGGTAAGGCCAGGCAGGCAAGAAAAATGAAAGGAATATAAAAGGAAAGCGAAACGTACCCTCAAGCCCAAAGCGGCCACTTTGTGCATCAAATCAATATCGGGAACGTTCCGAAGAGCCTCGCTCTTGGCGGCGGAGCACAAGAGGTCAAACTGCGGCACTAGGTCCTCCGTATCTCCCAAAAGGTTGATGTCCGACGAAATCTCTAAAATATGGGACGGCCCTCCCGCCTGAACCATCGAACGGGTAAGACCCTCTTCAAACATCCTAACATCATCAGGATCAAGATCAGACACGGATTCGTAGTCGTCGACCACGACACTGTGATGACCTAAAAGGTCATCACTTGTTTTAGAAACAAATTCAGTGTTCCGAGGCCTAAAAACCTCCTCTTTACCTCACCTCGACTTGCGTGCGTGGTCAGGACCTATATCCGCAAAGCCTTCTATGTGAAAATATGAGAAATAGAAATTTTTAGAGTTAAAATTTGATTATGGTTGACTTTGGTCAACATTTTTAGCAAACGCACCCGGATCTGTATTCCGACGATCCCGGGAGGTCCGCAGTAAAATATGGGACTTGGACGTATGCCCGAAAATGAATTTCGAGGTCCCAAGCCTTAGAAATTAATTTTTGAAAGAAATTGTTTTGCTGAATTATCTAAGAAATGAAGAAAAGAATTAATGTTTGAAACCATTGGTATCGGGCCCGTATTTTGGTTCCGGAGCCCGGTACAAACTTGTTATAGTATTTAAATGATAACTGTAAAATTTGGTGAAAAATGGAGTTTATTTGACGTGACTTGGACTTCCGGTTGAAGAGTTATGAACTTTGAGTGTTCTTGATGAAAATATTGAGTTTTGAGGTTTAATTCATGGGTTTACATGTTATTTTGATGATGTGATCACACGATTAGGTCCATATGATGTTATTGAGTTAGTATGCACGTTTGGTTTGAAGTCCCGAGGGCTCGGGAGAGTTTCGGGTAGGTTCCGGGATGTTTCAGGCTTAAAACATAGCTGTTGCAGGTCCAGAGATGTTGCAGATCTCTGAACCCGCCAGTGCTGACCGCATTGATTTTTGTGCTGACCGCGGAGGGGCCTTTGCGGCCGCACTCCTTTTTGTGCGGTCCGCGGTTAGGAAGAATTTCACTGGTTTGACTTCAGAAGCCTATATTGTTTGATCTACAAGGAATTTTGAGATGATTCAAAAACAAAGGTTGTAGCCCTTCGTGTCTAGTTTCCAGAAAGGTAAAGAAATCACAATTTGGACATCTGTAGAGAAACTTATGGCCAAAACACTAAAGTATGTCCCTGCAGTCAACATTGTGAGCTCCGCGGCCGCACTCGATTTTATGCGGTCCGCACAGAGGGTCTGAGATGGGTATATTTAGACGGGATTTTAAGTTATTTTTCATTTTTCAAAACCCCAAAAACATAAGAGGCGATTTTTCAAACAACCTTTCTTCTCCAAAACATTAGTAAGTGATTTCTAACTCATTTTCATTACTCCTTAACTTCTTTTTACAAGATTTCATCCTAGAATCTAGGGTTTTCATGGTGGAATTGGGAATTTTGGGTAAAACCTAAAATATTGAAATTTGGGGATTTAGACCTCAAATTGAGGTCGGATTCCAAAACTAACTATATTTTCGGGTTCGGGGGTGAATGGGTAATCGGGTTTTGGTCCGAATTTCGGGTTTGGACCAAGCGGGTCCGGGGTCGAATTTTGACTTTTTGGGAAAAATTTTAGAAAACTTATTTCCATGCATTAGAATTGTTTCATTTAGCATTTATTGATATAATTAAGTAACTTGTGGCTAGATACGAGCGAGTTGGTGGTAGAATCAAGGGGTAAAGCGATAGTTGAGGCTTGAATTGTGTTCGTGGCATTGAGGTAAGTGTTTGGTCTAACCTTAACTTGAGGGATTAGGAGTTGTGTCTTAATTTCTATGTGTTATCTATGGAGTACGACATATAGGCATGGTGACGAGTATCTATACGCCGGTGTCAAGCATGCCCGTGAGTCTTGTATTGTAATTGTTATGACTCTGTTGTGGTTTATTCGTGCTTCATATGAGGATTATCATTATTGTTCCCTTGCCGGGATGTGGGTGTT